AGGCCACCCCTTGCTTCCAAACCCGGCAAACCCGGGGAAGATAATCCAGATTAAAACCTCAAAGCAAAACGTGACTCTGGGCAGCTTCACCCTTGCTTTGCCCGCGGCTTCCGTCAGCCACGGTGTGTGGATCCTACCTTAGCAGAGCCAGGCCTGCCTTGTCCCGCCACCTGCAAGTGGGAAGGGGAAGGTCGGGTGTCCCCTGCTCCTTCCCCCGGCTTCCTGGTCACCTCCATAATCCCAGAGGGTTTTTGGAGGAGAAGGGAGGAGGCAGGCGCCATGCTTCCCGGGTAAAACCAAGGGCACATTTCCCACAACCCAGCTCCTCTGGGGACACCATCAGCATCACCCCTCGGAGGCTGTCCTGAGGGCAGAGCCCCGTCTGCAGCGGGTCTGTGAGGTTCACAGGGTCCCAGCACACTGCAATTAGCACAGAGGTTCTTCCTTCTACCTGAAGGAAAGGGTGCTTTTTCACGCGACCGAGCAGATGTCCCACGGGAGACAAAATTTGCTCAGTAAAATGGAAGCTAGGCAGGTGGCTTCAGCGTCGGGGAACATTAATACACAAGGACAGGTCTTCGGCTGATGTAAATGGATGAACTTGCACTCCCTTCACATGCTAATTTACACCAGCTGTTGGCTTGGCCTGGCCTGCTGATGGTCTTAGAGGTGGATGTGCTTCGTCCTGCTTCCCCCTTCCTAACCGGCCCAGTAAGGGCAGCTCTGATGACTTTATTTAGCATGGTCGCTAATGCCAGTAAGGGTTTCAGAGCAAAAAAGTATTTATCTGGTTGTTCGGTGTTAGTGTTTTCTGGTTTTAGCTATAAAACGTTGCAAACTCCTGAATAATCACTGCCTGTTACCTTATGTCTATCACCTTTTTTGTTTTTAGCCTGAGGAAAACGATCCCTGTACACTGGGAGTGTTGCTGTGAAGGACGTTTCCTGGTATTTCCCCAAATGACGTTGATCTACGTACAAGAGGTTGTAACACTTCATGTTAGAGGTATAGACGCATGTATATATGACTACATTGGTATAACCACCCATGGAAATGCTAATATTGATTTTAGAGAGCAGGCAAATTCTGCACCTCAGTGTGTGCGTGCACAGATTTGAGTGATATTTTCCTTGGGCCTTCTGGGATCGGTTTCCTGAACCTCAGTAGAAAGCTTTTACACCAAATTTTAGGGATTCTAACCTGACAGAGGACTTCCCAACATGGGCCATATAAATGTTTTGTGGCTGCTTCTGTGGGTGACTCGCTTGCTGGTGTTCGCTGAGTGAAAATATGAATTTTCGCCCACCCAGACCATTTTTTTTTTACCCATGTAATAAAATATGACACTAGAGGGCGGCCTGTTAATGTAATTCAATAATGAAGTTGCAGCGGCCGCACATGGAGACGCAGCACTGACCCCTTCTTCGTGCCAGGGCTGTGGCTGGAAGCAGGCCTGGGAACGGCGCCTTCCCCCCCTCTGAGACAACCATCGCTGCCCCGAGACGTGGGGAGTATCCAGAGCGTAATACCAGAACCCAAAATAATAAATATTCCTAAAAAATGTGATTTGCCAGCAGACCGACGTGCTTTGCGTTGTCTCGCGAGCAGTCCCACGTTTAGCACTTAGTCCAGCTCGTAGGAGGAGGTGACAGGAGCTATCCTGTCCATTCCCTGATGCCAAACCCTTGTCCTGCCCCAAACCATTGCACCTACTTTTACAGCTAAATGACAGTGCTGCAGTTGCAGCCTGGTTTTAGGAGTCTGCACTGCAGTTCAGTGAATATAGTCCCCACTGATGGCTCGCTCTCAGTCTCTGCACAGTCTTCCTGTGACCGAGGAGGTCTCTTAGAGTTCCAGAGGCTGGTTTCCTTGTGTCAAATGAGGTTAATAGCTCCATGCAATTTAATTAATTAAAGATTGTGAATATTTTTAGAGCACCAGACGCAGTATGCCTCAGAAATACTGGGTATTATCTAAGTACGCAGTGCTGTCATTATTGATATTTACATTTTGTACTGCCTGGAAGCTAGGATTTCCTTGTGGTGGGCTGCCAACAGCAATACCTTTTCTCCCCAGATTTAAAATCTGCGTGTCAAACGTGAGCCAACAGGCAAAAGTGATGTCAGACAGACTGAGGTAAGACCAAGGACACAGGTCACAGTACCGTGCACACTGGCAGAGACCTGTGACACTGTAGGTTGTTGCACATGGACGATACCACAGGTGGGTTTTAAGGCATCCTTGCAGCCTGCGCTGCAATAGCTTCAGGAGGCTTTGAGTGCTGTGAGACTATTAAAGCAAATTCAGCATGTTCACCATGAAATGAGAACGTTTTAAGCTGAACTTCAGTGAGACTTTCTTATTGTCTGGAGCAGAAGTTGGCCTGAAGTTACAGATGGAAAGAACTTAAATTACTGGCCACTTTTCTGAAAACTGATGTTCCTTAGCGTTTAGCAATAACATGTCCTCAGTTTTTGCTAAATTGCAAACGAGCAATTAATTTTTCAGCACTTGTGCAGAATACTTTAAAAATGGAAACATGAAAGTCTTCCATTAAAATGAAGTTGATAGTATGCACCTGCCACTAATGTACTGTACACTGTGTCTTCCACTCATTATAGTGATGATTTGGGTTGAGATCAAGAGTCATATAGTGAAAATCACTTCAACACGTGCCTGTTCATATGCATAAACTCCTGTGTACCAGATGGCAAAATATAATGACATCTTAAACAGCTAATTGCATAAACCTTGTAATGCAGATAATTGCTGAACCAAAGTATGAGTTAATAATTTCCCACTGTATTGCCTGGCTTGACACTAATTCTAAAGGAAAGTTGTGACAATTCTAACACACTAAAGTTCACCAAGCAGTAATTAAAACTAGCACTTAAAATCATTCGACTTTCAAACCCTTAATTACAATTCAGTGGAATCACTTTGTAGAAATCTAACATTTATAGATAGTTACATGATAGCTGATATTTCATCATCATCCCTTTCATGGTGTTCTTCTAAGGCATGCTTCAGGAAGCGTGTAGCTCCCTCTGGAAGTCTAAGGTTGTAATGATTTCTGTACCAGCGGTCACTGGGAAACACTTGGAAAACAGTGGCCAGGACTAGGAGTGAACACACATACCGCTGTAGGTTTTTTCACAGTTTACGCTTAAAGCAGCATGGCAAGTAGTTGTTTTTAATCACCTGATGATATATGAATGTAAATAAGCAGCAAGGCACTACAATGAAACATACTGGTTTTCAAAGAGTGGGTTTAAGAATTGAATTGTTTTGGTTGGGTTGATAACACACATACTGACCTCAAAGGCAGGCCTCTAACACATCATCAGCTGTTATTGTATATTGGAAAAGCTGCCATGGGACTGAAATGATGAAGAATGGAAATATAATTAATGATGGTAAATACAGTTTTAGTAGAAATAAGCCTTATCAGACAAACCCAATTTCTTTCTTTGATGAGGCGAATCAAATAATATGATGAAGGTAAAGACTGAATGATAAAGGTCAATGAAGAGATGTGATATTCATTTTTTATGGAGATTAGAATTAACACTGTGATATTCTGATCAAAAAACATTAGAAATAGTAACAGAGCATGCACTAATTAGATTAGGAATTGGCTAACAGCCTGCTAAAAAGTAGCTATGAATCAGGAAGCATTACCAAACGGGAGAGTTTTACCAGGATCAGCATCAGGTCAGATGCTAGTCAATGTTTTCTTCAATGATTTGGATGTAAACACTGTAAATTCACAGCTGATAAATTTGAGGATGACAGGAACATTGGTGGAGTGACAGACAATGATGAGAATGACACTCCAAGTGATCTCAGTTGCTTGATGAGCTGAGCCCATTCAAACACAATTGGTTTTAATACAGACAATATAAGATTATGTGGTTTCTGGTGCTCGCACTTTTAAAAGATCATTGGAAAACTGGAGAGGGTGCAGAAAACAGCCACAGAGAGGATTTCAGAGCCGAAGAAAGTGCTTAATGGTGAAAGACGTAAAGCACTCAATCTGCCTAGCTTGCTGGAAAGAAGACTGAGACATGACGTGAGTATAATGTGTAAGTATTTAAGTATCTATGAGATCTGTCTGGAAGTGTCTGCTGGATACCGATGACATTTTTAATTTTTCAGAGAAAAACGGGTATCTGCAAGCCGACGTCACACAAACTCAAGTGAGAATTTAGGTGGGTTTTTTTAATAGCAAGAGTGTCTGAAGGCTAACTTTCAAGGCACAAAGCTGCTCACACAGCTTCCTGCCTCTGCGGCCGTACATACCCACCACTTTTTTTTGATATTTTCAAAGCAGGACCAGAAGACCTGCTGTAACCAAAAACAAGTTAGTGCATTTAATGCAGGGGCAATGGCACACAATGAGTTGTAATATATCAAGGGGCTTTCTCTAGCCTTCAACGCTGTGAGTCTATACACATCAGCAGAGAGATTTCATAAGCATTTGGGAGCAGGAACGTACACCTGTGCAAAGGAATAATCAAGTAATAACAAGTCTAACACATTTCATGGGCTCTCTAGACCCAGGCCAGGTGTGCAATATCACACATTCACCTATCTCTAATAACATATTATTTTAAAAGATAGAGACCAAGTACGTGCTGATGGAGCTACACGAAACCACCAAGAGGCAGTCCCGTACCAGTAGATTTGTCACGCCTTGCCTGCCTCCTGGCACAAAATAGCCGATTCCTCAGAGCTCTGTGCCTCTCCTGTCTGGTAAAGGAGAAGCAGTGATCCTACCTTTAGGCATCTTCTACCTGGAAGTCTGTTTTATTCACAGTGTGAATAAGACAGTCCTGGATCGGAGTGGGTCGCAGGCAGAATATTAGGCTGAAACTTCACTCCAAGCCTCTTTTTCTGAAGCAGTCCTGCCTCAGCAATTGATTGCCATAGGAAATGCTGACAGTCACTTGTCCTGCTGCTCACACAGCTTCCTGCCTCCGTGGCCTTGCATACGCACCACAGCGGTTCCCAGACATGTAGCCTCCGTGTTGTTTGCATCCTACAAACCTGTTCCTCTCTCACCCCTCCAAAAAGTTCAACAACTGTCAAAACCATGAACAAACACAAGCCGTTTCAAGACTCTACAATACCACCACGTGGTGCCTCCAATTACATCTCAGTGTAATGCAGAAGGAAGAGAAAGCAGGGGCCTCATCCCATTTCCTTCAACTCTAGCATGTTCTTGGGGGTCTCCCATCTACTGTCTTCAGACAAAGCACAGTTCAGCCTACCCTAATGA